TAGTATTCACGCCGATTGGGCCACGATAGTAGTTGAGTGCAGCAGATACTATACGTACACAATCTGCAACTTTCGGTATGAATGCATTTTCAATACGACCGCTAAATAAACTCCATTTCTTCATACGAGCATGATATGATTCTACTCGCCAGCGAATTTTTGTGATTAATCGAGAACGATTCGCTTCTTCAACAGTATGTTGCTTTTGTCCTTTGGTTAAGAAATCGGGCATCTTCGCTTCAAAACCCATGTTAACAAATGAATCGATAACGTCTCGGAACCCTCGATCAACTATCATTTGATCACCTGGTTGACACCATCTCATGAGGGTATCACATGTATTTGTAATAGTATTTGCAATGGTAGCATCATTCATTGTACCCCAAAATGGACCAATTGTGTCGAGGACATATCCATTTGGTAATACCAAAGACATGAACTTGATCAAATGACGATGCCTAGAATAAAGAATTATACTGGTAAAGTTAATGCTTAAGACAGTCTTACTTTTGTCCAGAATACGTCTTTCGATTCACTAAATGAGCGCTACTTTTACCCATATATAAATATGTACCATCCCAAATTATGGTAACATTGTTTCCAAAAAATTCCTTAGAAAAGCTTGTGTTTTGACTTTTAGCATCTTCTCGGGTTAAATGCTCGACACCTAAATGTAATGGTACGAAGTTTTCGACTAAACATTCACGAATACTATCAAATGCATCTGCAGCTTGTTTACGCCGATATTCACCATCACCTGGAATATTAAACATAGATCCTATTTGTCTGAAAGATAAGTTCGTTTTTAATTTGATCCAAAACATGGCGAGAGCATTTCGAGCGTGGCGATTGGCAGACGAACGAAGATAAGGAGAAACGATTTCGAACATATTATCGAACTGTGTTTTTGTCCAACCTGTCCAAGCTAGATAATCTTCGTCGTTTAATGTCGAGTCCAAAAAGTCTAACCGAGGAGAAGTGAGAGCTTCTTGGAGAAGTGATAATAAATCCGAAACGAGAGTAATTATTTCTGACGACGAAATACAAGTAGCAAGACGTTGGCGATTATCCATATTTAAAGGATGATGAGGCTTCAAGCGTTTCTCATGAAAAAGATGGTTTGAGCAACAGCGAACACCTTTCGGTGCGTACGTTGAATGGATAACGAGTAGATCTAATCGCGCAGATTTTGGCATCGTTACTGCTCCATTCCGAATATCTTGACGGCAGACAACACATTTTTTATGGCCACTCCCACCAAAAATAANAGTAGCAAGACGTTGGCGATTATCCATATTTAAAGGATGATGAGGCTTCAAGCGTTTCTCATGAAAAAGATGGTTTGAGCAACAGCGAACACCTTTCGGTGCGTACGTTGAATGGATAACGAGTAGATCTAATCGCGCAGATTTTGGCATCGTTACTGCTCCATTCCGAATATCTTGACGGCAGACAACACATTTTTTATGGCCACTCCCACCAAAAATAATATTCTCCAATGTAAATTGATTGTCATCATCGTTCTCATTGATTTCATCTGCGATATCCATTGGTTCATCAGTTAATCGAATAGTCAATGTTTCCTTCAACTTGTAAAAATCGGCAACACAAGTAGTACATAGATTTAGATCACTTTCATCGAAAACCTTGTACTGTGATCGAAGATGTTCATGGAACCATTGATAAGTGGAGGATGACAACGATCGATAGTTAAACGACCAATGAGAACAAAGAATACATTTCTTCTGTGGCATTTCAAGAGGTTGTTCTAAAAATATATTGAGCAAAAGATTATCGAAGTTTCCAATTATAGTAATGTGCGCTGATCCAACGTGGTTCTTTACATCAGTGTGATACTAGCACGAACAAACGATTTGCTAGCTAAAAACTTGATTACTAAACAAGCTCCGTCCATGAGAATTACACCATTCGACTCAAAAATTAATTCTGCATCGAATGATGGTACTTTTATTCACGGGACAAACTTTGAAAAAATTCTATTTGGATTATAAATAGACCTATAGGAAGCTAACAAAGATGCGGTTAAAAATTTTTCCAAAGTTTGTCCCATGAATAAAAGTGTCACCATTCGATACAGAATTTAATTCTGAGTCGAATGGTGTAATTCTCATAGATAGGACTTATTTAGTAATAAAGTTTTTATCTATCAAATCCTTTGTTCGTGCTAGCTTCACATCGATGTTCTCTACAAATATTACGTAAGAGAAAAATTGAACAGACAACTTACCCCTATAACTTCTCTGATAGTTTATTCTCTAATTCTTGAAATCGCTATTTGAAACCCTAATGTTAAACAAATACACAGTATTATAATATTTATCCATGAAAATTACCTACCAAAATCGAACTCGTCGCGTACTACAAGTGACACCAATAATATGTCTGTATCGAATATGTTTGCGTAAGAGTAATGTAATTGAAATAAATGCACTATAATTATCACAAGTCGATGCAAGGAACAAAACTATGATGAAAAATATATAGCAGAGATAACAAATGAACCGCTTGAATTGATATGAAGATAATCAACAAGAAAAGTATTGTAACTTATCCACAAGAGGATTTAGTGCAATAACAGTGAGCTACTGTTCAGTAAACGCAAGAGATGAAAAATACTATCAAAAACATCCTGTCTTTTTACTTCTACATCTTGTAATTTGAGAATTATATTTTATGAGGTACAGTTTCTGGCAATATTCATTAGATTATATACGTACAGTNGCGCATCGGTCAAGAGAGAACAGGGAGAGAAAGAGACGGACAGAGAGAAACACGAAGAAGAGAAAAGAATCATTAGATGATTAGATGAACTGATGAAGATGAACTCGCTATGAGACGAGATGCATAGATATAATGAACAGAAAGGAGAAGATGATAATATATACATGAGTCATCTATCTGTGTTTGAGAGATTAATTGACGAATACACAAATGTTGTCACATAAGTGGCATACCAGCTTGTGATTCCCTAAAATGATGATCAAAGAGCTTATTCATAATCAACTGTAATAATGGCAAAACACTATTCAGATGGAAGATTTTTGTGATACTTACGTTATATTTTGTCGTACTAGTTAACCATTGTAGTAGTATGGTCCTTCTTCAATTTCTGGTGTTAATGTACATCCTTCAACGACAGCTCGTTTATTCCGTAATCGTCGTTGTTTATCCCCATCTAGAATTACAATTGTATTCGCAGTAAGTTATTGTTTTTTCTAAACCAGATTTGGTGAGTACTCACTTGAAGCAGTTACCATCATCAAAAGTAACATCATAGATACTGTAATAAATTGAGCATATACCATGCTTTTCTTCATCTGATTTCTTTTCGTTTTTTATAAAATACAATAAGACACAAATCTTATGCTTAAATATATATATTTGTGATTATGTGTAGGCGAGAATTTCAAAATGTACTTTTTGCACAATAAATAGTACATTTCAGTTCTTTCTACAGTAAGACTAACAAATGATTTTTTCGTCGTTCATTTATACTCTCGTTACTTCCGATGAATTATGTAAAGAAAAATGAAAATAAAACAAATCATATGCAGTACTGGACATATGTACTTTTTTCATGTTCTTCTACTGTTCTTTCTCATGCCATTATGGCATGTTTTTCTAAAAAAAATTAAATGTACTATTTACATGTACGATTGTGTGATAAATAAAGTGTATAATCTATTTTGAGGATGAAGGTCCAGGTACTTTCGTCTTTTTTGTCTATCTCTGGCACGTAAATATACAACAACAAACTTAACACAAGTTCGTGTGGTTTAAGAAGAAGTAATAGTTTAAAAGAAATATAGTGAAAAGTGTCGACAGCTTTACTATAAGCAATTTCCACGTTATTAGCCTGAATATTGCTCGTTTCAAGTGACCAGGAGCACCGCCTTGCTGGAAAATCATCTTTTTGTAAAATGTTTTTCTTCGCATAATTGGATAGGAATAATTTTGTTTATTGACCGATGATACGCTTGCTTGACATCGCACATTCACTTTTACAGTCTTCATATTAGTTTCAATACTGATAAATGGCATTTTGTGACACACTTGGTATGTTGTTCACAGGCTCCGTCGCCAAAATGCCTTCAACTTCTTGAATCTTACCTTCTGTTATTAAAAATACTTTCCATCTGTGGTTATTTCATCGATTCATGATATGGTGCGTCTTTTTTGCATATATTGTTTGGATGGGTTTTTGAAAATACAATGTAGAACAAACTCTCGCAAATATGTTTTACCGTGTTTATAAACGGTTTGAAGGTTTTTTATTCTGCTCTTTTTTACAGTGTACGTTTAATATATGATCTTATAAGTCAATTTGAGAAAAAGTACTTGATTTTTTGTCATAAGATCCAAAACTTGGACGTACAGTCTTCTAAACTGATAACAGTTTGAAAATTAACACTTTATGAGAAAACTATACTATTTAAAAGAAGATAGCAAATACGAAAGAAAATTATATTGATTTTATAAAAAGAGACATTGACACTATATACGTGCTATATATTCATACAAATAGCAAAAGAGGAAAAAAAACTATCGTCTCACAAAAGCCTCACTGAATAATATTATTTTACCGTAAAGTTACTGCAATGAGTTGCAATTTTTCTCCTGTTTTACAACTATTAATTTGTGTTCATCTAGTTTATATCACACTATTAATTGATATACCAGCGATTTTACATTATAATCTCTATCATACGAATGACCAACATGGCTGCTTCTATTCTTTTCTAATAGATCGTGATATGATTCGTTACGAATCCGAGTACGAATACGATGTTATACTGAAGGGTGGATTTCATATTATTCCGTATTGTTTGCATCTAACAGAACAAGTCCACCAAGATACAGTTTATTCAAATGAATGTATTGATGATAATAGTAATAATAGTATTTGTTGGACATTTGCCCAATTGAAAGAAAAACAAATAATCAGTAATAACTTATTCGCATGGTCTGTTCCAATCGATCTGATTGAACACTATGAAACATTTTTAAACAATCCAAATTCATCGAACTCCGCATCTCTAACGACAATCTACAACTGTTCAGAAGGATGGTTTGGATCTCATTGTCAATACACATTGGATTCTGATGGTTTGATCTTCAATGAATTTGTAAATGATATTTTTCTAGCTAAGTTTCCTAATCAGAAACAAGCCAGATCGAGTAGTGGCACTTGTTACACTCACTTATTGTGTGATCGTGGTCCGAGTTCATCGTGCCTGGACTGGCGTGAGATTTGTAATGGAAAAAGAGATTGTATCAATGGAGATGTTGATGAAGAAAACTATTGCACTGAATTAGAAGCCAATGAATGTGGTGTTGGAGAATATCGATGCCAAAGTGGTCAATGCATACCTCATGCCTTTGTTCGGGATAATGATTATGATTGTGCTGATGCAACAGATGAAACAATGGAAATAGAAGATGATGGAGATGATTGTTCACGAAATCCAGCTTTTGATTGTGAAGATCGTATCTGTACAAAACGAAATAATTTCCCATGTGGCGATGGCGAATGTATTTCCAGAATCATGCCTCTTTCGATGTCTATAAATGTTTGTACGAACCAACGCAATCAGAAATTGATACAAGCTTTATTGGCACCTAAGGAAAATCCGCATTTATTCCCTGAATGTGTTTTTGTCATGAATTGCATTACACGTGCGAATGATCTGATATCCAGGAATTCGTGTGATCAGTTGTGCAGAAATATCTCACAATGTATCGATTTGTTCCGAGTAAATAAGTGTCCACCATCATTATTCGTTTTTCCTATCCATCCTGTTGCACATGGGCATGTACGATTTGTTTATACAACTAACACAACTAATTTTGCTGGTAATAAACTTTTCACACCGTATCTCGTATGTTTCAACAATCAATTATGTAATCCATTTCTAAATCTAACAGTAATTTATAATAATTTAACTTGTCATTATTATTCAAATATTAGTCTCAGTAAGTATACATTTGCAGAATGGTCAGAGTTGGTAGAGACTGTACGCCAATTGTTCTTACATTGCTCGTTAATAACGATCAAGAATTGCACAAATCTCTTTCAGTGTAAACAATCAAGTTTGTGCATATCAACACATCGTTTACTTGATGGTATAAATGACTGTTTCGACGAGAGTGATGAAAATGTGATAGATACATGTTCTCTTCAAGGTCCGTACCGTTTTCAATGCTCTTCCGATAGAAATCGATGTATCTCATTGACAATGGTTAATAATGGAATAGTTGATTGTTCGGCCGGTGAAGACGAATCCGTTCAACTACCATTATTCTCAATGTTGTGTGACTGGTATCAAGATATATCTCCTCTGTTCGAAAATGGGCGCGAAGAAACAGATGAAACGGATTGTAACTCTCATTTCCCTTGCAATAATCAATATACGCAGTGTGACGGTGATTGGAACTGTCCCGATGGCCTTGACGAAGCGAATTGTCAATCATCACTGTGTCCACCATTTCATCATCCATGTGTGTCATTGAAAAATGATTCCATTGAATGTTTACCAATAAAATTCGCAAATGATGGCAGAATTCATTGTCGAGGTGGATCAGATGAACGACATTACTGTCGTAACTTATTTCCTGAACTAGTTGATACTCGATTCAGGTGTTCCAACGAAACGCATAGATGCATGTCGGTTGCTAAGTTATGTATGAATGATAAGTATTTACTAGTAAAAGATGATAAAAGATGTCGTGAGGATGAAGATGCGATTTGTCCAGCATCCTATTTTCAAAATGATTGGGAATTTTCTGGTATATGTTCTTTAGCATTCAATGAACAATTTCATACAACTGAAGAACTACTCTGTAGTCTGACAGATCAATACTCTAAAAACACTGTTGGTGGCAGACCCGAACGATGTTTAACCCTTCGTCATGCAGGCTACTATCCTCCTTTAACAACACATAATGCACCGAAATTGACTGAAAATACAATCGATAGAATTATTTCAACACATATACATGGCAATAAGATTAATATCATCAATAGAATTTGGCTATGTAACCGAGGGATCCATATATTTATCGGTAAAAAGAAAGAGAATGGCTGTCTTTGTCCCCCAGCATATTATGGTGATCAATGTCAATATCAGAATCAGCGTGTTAGTCTCATCTTAAAATTCATAAAAGAATTGTCTCTTGATCGAAATAGTGTATTCCAAATGGTAATTATGTTAATTGATGACAAACAACGAATTGAATCCTATGATAAGATAAATTACCTGCCGGCACGTGATTGTAATATAAAGTTTCGTTTGAATCTTTTGTATTCATCACGACCGAAAGATTCAAATAAAACTTATAGTGTACGTATTGACGCATACAACAATGACAATTTAGATTATCATTCAAGTTGGCATTTATTAATTCAGTTTCAAAATCTCCCAGTAAACCATCTAGTAGCTCGTTTATTCGTTGGTACTAAAGAAAGAGCACAAGATTCAAGATATTGTTCTATAGATTGTGGTAGTCATGCTCTATGTATGAAATATGTGAATAGCCAGCATTATTTTTGTCGATGTTTGCCGGGTTGGTTTGGATATTTTTGTAACATAAGTCATAATTGTCAATGTACAGCTGATTCCAGATGTGTTGGGGTAATCGCCAATCGATCGATCTGTATTTGTCCACTAAACAAATTTGGTACATTTTGTCAGCTTACACGATCTGTGTGTCCACCAGATATATGTAGTTCTAAAGGAATTTGCGTGCTGGATGATTCAAGAATGGAAGAACCTGATTTCACTTGCCTTTGCAATGAAGGTTATTTCGGACCGCAATGTCAATTTAATAGTACAAAAATTGAAATATCATTCGAGGGTGTTCTCATTCCACAAGCTATACTTGCTCACTATATTACTGCCATGAAAAACACTCCTCATATTCATACTACTGTATTTAAAAAGATTCCATACGATCAAAATACAGTAACACTATTTCGTTCAGGCTCATTTCATATTCTCTTCATAGAATTTTCCAATGATTATTATTTAGCTGTTGTTCAAGAAAAATCAAACGTATCAAGAACTATTTCAACACGTGTTCTTCCTTCGTATCATTGTAAACCTATATCTGATCTGTTCAATCATACAATTCTTAGTTATCATCGTCTTCGTCGTATAAAATACTACCATATACCTTGCCAAAAATTATCTCAACTCGCCTGATTTTATGATGAAATATTTATGTGTTTGTGCAATCTTCATCGACAAGCAAATTGTTTTGAATTTCATCGTAACATCAGTTACAAATGTTTAGGCTCAGATTACTGTGAAAATGATGGACAATGTTTTCAGGATGATCCATTATGTCCTCAGACGTATGTCTGCGTTTGTCCTGATTGTTATTTTGGAAGTCAGTGCCAATTTACGACAAAAATGTTTGATTTGTCTTTAGAAACTATTCTTGGCTACCAAATTCACTCTCATCTACCTTTCGTTCGTCAACCTTTATCTCTGAAAATATGTTTGATTGTGACAATAATTATGATAATCAGTGGTTTAATTACTGTTAGTTTATCTATTATTACATTTAAGCTAAAGAAACTTCGAGAAACAGGCTGTGGAAATTATTTGCTCGTATCATCAATTATTTGTCTTTTACATATCATTATCTTTGGATTGAGATTTCTATTACTAATACTTTCACAGATGAAACTTATTAATAATTATTATTTTCTTCTTTTCACATGTAAATCAATGGATTTCCTACTGAAAATCTTACCGAATTCAAGAGACTGGTTGCATGCTTGTGTATCTATTGAGCGTTTACTAATAGTTTATCAAGGAATTCATTTTAACAAGATTAAAAGTAGTCGAATTTCTAAAATAGTAATACTTGTCGTGTTTGTGATCGTTTTAAGTACTAATATTCATGATCCTATTTATCGTCACCTCATTGATGATATTGGAGAGAAACGTACTTGGTGTGTGGCGGATTATCCGAAAGTTCTACAGATCTTCAATTCCACCGTGGATATTTTACACTTTTTTAGTCCATTACTTATCAATATTATTTGTGCGATTTCTTTCATTATTTTAACGACTCGACAACGTGCAACAATGCGAAAAAATCACACCTACAAACAACATCTTTATCAACAATTTCATCAGCATAAACATCTATTGATCAGTCCCTTTATTCTTACATTGTTTACTCTACCTCGTTTGATCATCTCGTTTCTATCTGGATGTATGCAGTCTGCTCGTTATTCATGGAGTTTTACGATTAGTTATTTCGCATCTCTCTTCTCATCTATATCGCACTTTCTAGTCTTTGTGCTTCCAGCAGAAGTTTATAAGACCAGTTTTCTTCGAATGATTCGAAATGAAATATGACATTTGCGGAATGAATCTTCTGCTCTACCCGTGCCATAGGTATAGAACTACTAAAATTAATAAACAAGAAAAAATAAAATTAGAGTTATAAAAGGAGTTTTTAAAAAACCGAAAAATGAAGTAGAAAATAAAAAAGAAATTTTTCATATTTTACGAGCTTTCGATGCTAAACATGCATCATCGTCAGGTAGAACGTTAAAAGATTTATTTCTGTATAGAATATGAATATAATAAAATGGGGTGGGTGAGGGTGTGGGTGTGACATAAATAGAGAATGCTACGACTATAGTTTCGACCTTTCTCAAGGGCCGTTCATCAGGTAGCTGTAATAAACTTTGCATGTAAATCTAATTCTATTGTCGAAAGTTTAAAATAATATAAACTTCCAAACAAATACAATTAAATTCCAAGTAAAGCAAAGGTATCTATGGTCCCGAAGGGGTGTGATATAGATAGAGAAGGCTACGACTATAGTTTCGACCTTTCTCAAGGGCCGTTCATCAGGTAGCTTAGTAATTCGGGCCTATAATAGAAAGTTGGTACATGAGTTAGTTTGTAGCTGTGGAATGAACTTTTTAAAGTTTTTGTTGATTCAGTATGTTGTGATTATGTCTTTATTCTATGAATATTTAAAACTCCTGGGGAAGGTTTTTACGAGTGGCGTCCAGTTCTGAAGGACTAGTCGGGCGCTGCTCTACGTGTCCTGGAAGGGTGGATCAAAATGAAATTTTGGTGATCGGATGAATTGGGATAACAGTATGGAAAACTACAAGAAGAAAAATCTATAGTTCGATTGCGAAGTTTCATCCAATAGTTCCAGCGAATCTTGAAGTAGATGGTTGCTGACTGCTGACCGGTTCAGATAAGTATCCAAGACGAAAGTCATTATGGCAGGTTTCCGACGCATTCGTAATAATATTGCGACTAAAATAGCAGATGAAATTATTAGAGGGATGATTCAATGAAGATTTACATCCATTGTGGTGTCGTGCTACTCACAAGTGGGATATGTGGGTTGTCAAGTGTCTGCTGGTGGGGAAGATGTTGATTTCTGTCGAATGCTGGATGATCGAATCTGGGTACTCCGTCTGGTGCGTGGCGGATTACCGGTGACAGATAAATTGTGTCTTTTTGTTCTTGTTGCGGCAACCCTAAGGGCGTGATTGATTGTGATTACAAAAGGAAATGAGTGATCAAGCTGGGTGCAAGTACTCACATCTGGTTTGAGTTGACTTTGACGTGTAATGTGCTGACCGTTCGGTGTTTCGGCAATGACCGAGAAAATGAATGACAATTACTGTTATCGAGAATACAGTCAGTGTAGCGAGTAGAGCTATAATGAGAATAAAAATCAGAATGATGGCTGGTGAATCGAAGTCGAATGAACTCGTAGCTGATAGTTGAGCTGTTTGATACGGATAGACAGAAAACACAATGAATGATACTTCTTTGGGATTGAATCGAAAACGTACTAGTCATTTGTGGTGCTGTCGTTGTTGTTGCCATAATGGTAGGACTCATAATATTTGAACAAGGCTCAGCCATCTCAAGCAGATGCTGTTCCAACTGATCACATGGGATATATTTGTGTCCAACCCAGCAGTCCTGTGCATTTTTTCGATAGAATTGGCACGGATTCGTTCGGAACGATCGACTGCTTGATGAAATGTGTTTCATCTGAAAGCTGACTCTGTTTCGAATAACTTTTGAAAATGTGCTAAGAAATACGATCTGAAACAGATTCCGAAACAAATCTAGGTAAAGAATTCTTATAGTGTTAAGGTATCGTAGAAATTGAGAACGTTACGGTTTTATGCTTGCCCTTCAAGAAGATTAAATCAGTCAGATGACTGAAACTTATTATTTAAACGTGAAAGATAATCAAAAACGCCATGATGGTTGAATAAACAGAACAGATATATTTGATTTCGTATTCATATCTATCTGAGAAATTCAAATATAATATCATCTAAACCTAGTATACTGCACATCTAGGAATTACTTACTTGCTTAGTAAATTTTATGTATGACTGATTCGTGGTACGATGGAGCGGTTCTATATCGGTTAGAAAGATCTATTCATATCTACAACAGACAACGAAGTTATGGTTAAGTTCAGATGAAATGGATTTGAACAAATAATGGGCCTGCAATTCCTTATGCTATGCACCAAAAGACAACGTAAACAAGAGAACAACATAGTATATAATGAAATGATTCTACAGTAAATGAACGTCTAAGCTAAGAAACGATATACTACTAAAGACTAAAGTCCGTAGAACTATGCCAGTTTATGGTAAAATCGTCTGGCTTATTTCCGATCAGGCTCATTTTCGATCGACATATTCTTGACACATTTTGATAATAATGAAATGTTTGGTAACGAATGAGATAATTCTGAGTCTGGTATGTTAAATGTAACTGCCAGGCATCTCCGTTTCGGATTTGGATCTCTTGATGTTGCCGTTGATGGCTTCGGTGATGGCACACTTGGAGTTCGCATTATTACTGGAAGTGGATTTGCCAATTGCTCCTTTCGGATTGGAGATGCCATAGTATTACCTATAACCACTGATTCCGCTGATTTGTTTGTATCTATTTTTTAGAATAAATCGAAACACAGATTCCTTCTCACGATGGTGATTAGTAAGCGTCTCTTACCGCATTGATTGATGTTGTCGGAACCTGATGCTGAGCTATTCATTGAGGCCATTGACAAATACAAAACCTTTTGTTGTAATGAGTAAGAGGAATAGAACTAGTATTGGCGGATATCTGAAATAACAAACAAAGACTATTTCATCAGTTGTCTTTGCTTGGTTCTCTTGGCTAATACAAAGAGTTTATTCAAAGAGTGCTACTACAGCAAAGGTGATATACAATAGGAAATCATATAAAACATGACATTAGTTACAGTAAGTGAATGTTTACAATGTGATGACTCTAAAGTCATGATAACTCAATGTGAATATCGTTTTTCAACACAGCTAACGTGTTAAAAATCGAATGATGTAGAGCATTATTACTCTTCATCTGGTTTTGCTTTGCATTCAGCATGTGCATTATATTGCTTTTTCTCTCGTGACTCCATTGTCGTTGTTTCTTTTCCATGTTCTTGAAACGTTCTAACCGCAGTCTTGCTAGAGCTGATACTATAGCCTTTGATCTGGAAATGATGTTGTGAATTAGAGGAGCATGAATATCAATCCATCTACTGATCCATCTCAAATAATAGATATTTTACCTCACAGCGTTCAAGTTGAACATACTAGGTTGTGGAAAACGTTCGTGCGCCGTGTTATAATATTAATAATAGTAACGCGGTGCACAAACTTTTTCCTCAATCTGGTATACCATGTTGTAGAGCTTTTTGAGGCGCATCGAACGGTATATGATAACTCTTGT